CAGTGCTCACACTTGTCCCACAGAACACAGAACACCCCTGTGCCACCTCAGACACCAGGCCACAAAGAATTCCAGCACAACTCCTCTTCCATCACAACACCCTTCACTTCCAAGTGAAGACAGAACAGCACTGCTATCTCTAAAGCAATTACTAATTCCCGATCTTGTCTGTTTACTGTTTCTGACGTGGCACAACCAAGACAGAGGCACTGTCTGTTACATTTCTTCTACAGGAGTACAGTCTACAGGAGTAAGCACTGAGGCTCGTGGTCACAAGCCGCTTTTGGCAGTCCAGAAAGTCAATTCCTACCTCTTACTCCAAGGCTCAAGATGTGCCCAAGTCTTTCACAAAGGACTGAGAGAGGATCTCTTTGCTATGAAGGTGAGCACTGACAAAGGCACTGTGTGGATGTTTCTGCAAGTGGTGAAGTTTTAAAAAACAACAGAAGCAGCAAAAAAAAAAAAAAAAAATCAACAAAACTGTGGTTCTGTACCTTATTCCAAAAGGTGCCAGATTTGAGATAAATCACAACTGCCACGCTTCAGTTCTGCTTGCTGACCAACTGCCTTATGCACTGAGTTGATCATTAAATGAAGCATGGCAGAGGTGAGGCAAACCCCAGCAGGGCTCACCCCACTGCTGGCTGGGTGTGAGCACTTCTTGCACATCTCACAGCCACACATCACTCACTCGCTCACCCCAGAGCTCAGGCTGCTGCACAAGTGCTCCAGCACAGGCAGTGCAACCTAACAGCACCCAGCCCTGGGAAAACAAACCAAGCTAGAATTGAGACCATTTTAGAAGTTGAGTGTTAAGCATTTGCAATGTTAGCTTGAAATTACCCAAATTCCCAAATAAAAACTGTGACATTTATTTTGACTTGCTAGCCAGGGCTTAATCAGCAGAAAAGGAGAAAACAAATAGCTGCCAGACTGCATCCTGCCCACTTTGTGGGACCGTGGGCAGCTTCTCCATTATGCATCAGAAAGAATTTTTTGTCTAGTCCTCACCAAGTTTGAAGAAGCTCAAACAATGTTTTCACAGTCAGTGTTCCAGCAGTTTCACTTATTTCCATTAAGAGAGACTCCTGTATGTTTAATTTAGAAGTTAAAACCTATTTGCTAAGTACATGAAGAGAAATTAAGAGACAACGCATTCCTGAACAGATCCATTCAAACAGATGTGCATTTATCCTATCTAATGGGAAGCCAAATGCAAGCCCCGTGCAAAGGGCAGCTGCTGCAGCTCAGGAGGATTGCAGCACACAGCTGGCCCTCAGCACAGGGCAGCGCAGGGACAGCTTGCAGGACAAGGGCTGGGCCACAGCGTGCACAAGGGCTGCAGGCAGCAGGGATGGGACACAGCCACTGGCCTCCAGCAGCTCCTGTTTCCGCTTCACAGCCACAGCAGTGAGCAGTGAGAGGTCCCAGCCCATCAGGCACCAGGTTCCGGAGCTGCCAGGCCTCGCTTGTTCTGCTCACAGCTCTTCACATCACACACACAGGCTGCTCCCTGGCTCCCAATGAGCTTTCCCAGCAGAAATGAGCAACTCCTAAACCTTCAGCTGGGGCCATCCCTATGCTTACTTCTCAGCGATATTTGCATACTGCTTAACAGTAACCTAAGATTAGTGGTAGCTGGCAACCGCAGGCTGAAAAGGGTTTATTTGGACTGCAGAGTGCTCAGCATAGCAGTGGTTTCTAATCTCCAGCAACCCCGCTTAAGTTGCTCTGCTTCCTCTGCAGCACAATTTTGTTTAGACAAAGATTACATTGTCAACTGAAACAATAACTCAAGGAGGTCCTTTGACAGTAATATCTGCCACTGAGGCTCACTAATTCACTTTTGCTCCTCTCCCTCCCAAACAATTAAGCAGGCACAAACCACTGAAGAGAACTGGCTATGAACCAAGTGGGCTCTTCCTGAGTTACTCCATTCTGCCTGAACTCCGCAGGTTTGGAAAGAGAGCAGAGGACTTTGCTGGGCTTTCTGACTGTAACAGGAAGTTGAGCAGTTGGGTTTTCATCCTCAGTCACAGAGGGGACAGGACACAGCCCAGAGGCACATCCCACACCAGCACAGTAACTGGGATAAGTGGAGCTGACCTCAGTGCATGGTTTAGCAGCTGCTGGATTGCAGCTGTAGATGCTTCTCTAATGAGTGTTTTCTAGGATCCATAACAAATCTTTTGAGGGCCTTCACCTCAAAATATCTGATGTCTCAGATGCAGTGCATGGACTTACTGCGGCTCTGCTCTCTAGCAATGAAGTTGTTACTTTTAGAATCACTGATCACTGTAACAAAACAGTGTCCTCAGAGAATATTTAAGAGCCACTGTTACTGTCTTGTAAGAGGTTTCAAGAGTGGATAGCTCAGGAGATGCCCCCCATTTCAAGGACCAGCAGCCCCTAACAGCCAGCTGCAAGCAGAGCCCTGCCATGTCACAGCACAGCTCCAGCCATGGCTGCCTCCGCACGCAGGGCACAAATAAGCACTGACTTAGCAAGACAGGAGTTCTGTCTCTGGTCCATCACACTCCAACAGCAGTTTTTCAAGAAGCACAGAACTCCAGCAGCCCTACATCCTGAGACATGGCTGCTACCATTTAGCTGCCCCGTTAAGAAATGTTTTCTCATTGTTCTGCACGTCACTTGTGATTGCCAATTAATGACCCTTTGTTCTCACATAGGAAGAGATGGGTGGGAGATGTGAGCACCATTCCCCCTCCCTGTACCATTTCAGATGTAGGCTCGTTCTGTTTGACCTCAATTATCATTCCCATGCTGAACACAGTTTTGATAACTTCAGCTGTTCTTTAAATATTTTCCTGACTTATTTCCTCTCCTCCCAAAGGAGGGAAAGGCTGGAGCAGCACAAAGCACCGAAGGTACAAATGTCAAGTTTGGGGCAGCAGTTTTAAGTTCAGGGCAGTAAAGTGTTTTCCACTTTGATCCTATTCTCTGATTTTTAACCATTGCTGCACAATTAATTTAGATTGCTACAGATCTGTTTCACCCCACAAGCTCCTGCCAAAGCAGTGAGAGCTCCAGCACTACCATATACTACGATATTCCTTATCGTACACCTCGTGTGTGGCCTCTGCTGTGAGCCGAGGTACAGCCCTTCGTCCTGGGCTCCTGTTTTCGCTGTCCTAAAAAAATAAATCCACATAAGCCAAGTGTCATCTTAGAATCACTTTGCATTTTGCAGGCAAAAAAATCTACAAGCAAGGGGCCTGAACGCAAGCACAGGTTGGTTTATGTCTCCAGCAGTGACCCTGCCAAGCCACAGAAAGCAGAGAACAAGGGATAAGATCAGCCACATAACCAGATCTATACCTACATGGGGCCTTCCCTCACACTGCAGTTACTTCAGAGCCTGTGCTTATGATAATTACCAAAATTACATTTGAAAACTCACGTGGGTTGTTATCAGATGACCTCCTGTCCACTCAGATTCATTCACAGATCAGTGCGTTTGAGAGGCACGCTCTCTCCCTAAAAAACCTTTCTGAGTCTTTATGCCCACACCACCTCACGTACGCACACACTCCTGTGTAGGCCAGCTGGATACTTTGGAACAGGTTCCACCAACACGTTGAACAGACATCATGCATGCCACTATCATATCTGCAGATCTGAAAGAGAATCTCAGAGACAGCAGCTAACATCTGGGTGCTGGGGCAGCACTGTGCCCAACATCCACACGCAGCCACAGCGAGTAGGTCAGCGGTTCCTTCTCCGTGCTCAGAAATCTGGTGCTTGCAGTCTCACTTTCCTTTTCTTTTGAGTTTCCTTGTACACATAAGCTGATGGTCTTGCCAGCACTCTGAAAAAGCCTTGGAATAAAAGAAACCTGGTGCCCCTGAGAATGGAAAGCCAGAAGCTTCCATTTGGCCAAATGCCCGGAAGCACCAAGGGCAGACAAGTGAATGGATACTAGATGATGCCATCACTCCTGATTAGGAAGCTAGGGAAGCACTGAAAGCTTGCACTGAGATGCACTGATAGTCATGTTGGTGATGAGAGCCTTGGCTTACTGGAGACAAAGAACAGAAGAACACTCACCATTCCTCTCTGCTAGCTAAGAGCTCGCAGTTGCTCCTACTTCTTGTTTCTGTGCCAGAACACAGCAAGAACATTTAATAAATAGGAGGGTGGATAAAAAAGGAGCTACTGCAATTGCTACTGCTGCCAGTTCCAGCACAACTGGACTCTTCGTTCAGCACTCCAGAGGAACGCAGACATGACTGACCAAAAAAATGACTGCATGCATCACCAGCAGAGCTGCTGTAAGCAAAGTGCTCTCAGGAACACCATTCATTGAAGCTTTTGCTGTGCAGGAAGTAATATCTTCATTTGTGGCATCTGAAGGATAAAACCAAATAAGAAAAAAAAAAAAAAAAGCAGAAAATAGTTTATTTCACATCCACCCTGAAATAAAGTTTGATCTAAACTAAAACTGTGGAATAGAGTTTTACCAGAAGCAGGTGCTGGCTGAGTAATATGTACAAATGAATCATCTCACGAATGATTTCATAAGTTGGATGCACTTGCTCTTGAATTCCTGTCTGCCTGCCACCACAGTCACAAACCAGCCATGAGCTCAGCCTGCTCTGCAGATCTTCAAGCTCCCATCGCTTGGTCGCAGCGCTGACCAGAAGGCTCAGGCTGGGCTGTGCAACACGGCGCCTCGGGGGAAGGGGCAGGGAGAGTTGCCAAAGCTCCTTCTTGAAGGCACGCCAAAAAAATTAACAGTCAACCACTTCAAGTAACACTTCTAAGGAACTGAGAGTTAAGAAAACAGCAGTTCACTCTAAATACTATTATGTCTAATTAAGTTTGTAACCTGAGGTTGAGCTCCAATTAGAGCAGAGATCCAAACACATTTTGACACAGAAAAAGACAAAGGTTAAGAACTGTTGTCCAAGTACTGCAGTACTGAAGAACTTCATACATTACTAAAGGTGAGAAAAAACACGTGGTACAGTACAACCTCATTCTAACAGCGAGCATCATTAAGCTTTATTCAATAATTGCTATTGACATCATTCAGAGATGTGCTAATATGGCACAAAGTCATCAAAACAGCCTCAGCTGAAGCAGATCTGATACCAAGGAACAAAGAGGTGAGGAGAAATGAAGTACTGCACCACAGGTTCAGCTGACAGAAGCATTTCTCATTTTCCTTCAAATTCAGGAATGAGGCAGAAGACTGTTTCAGCATGATGGATTTCAGTTATTCTGCTTCAATTCTTCCTTCACGATTCTCCATCCCTCTTTCCAGCCATTAAAAATCATCGTATATCACATTTCCATGTTATTGTCACACAAATATTCACATTCCACACCAGCCTGGCTGGATAAAAGGAAAACACAAAGCAGTGCAATGATAAGGAGGCCCAGAAATCCCTCCCATCACATCTGCCAAGCAGTCAGCTCTGTTCAGTTCCTGCCATCCAGCACTTTGTGATGAGCTCAAGAACTCTGAGGTTTTGATAACTCAAAAAAGATACTGTGAAAAACAACATTAATTGCACATTTAACAGGTTTGATGTGCTGTTCCCACCATGGAGAACGCTAGCCAGGCTCTTCACTCTCACAGCAACCTGTCCCTGCCACCTCAATATTCAGTAACACACAGAAAAGAATTGCCACGTTTTATTCTAAATTATTTCATACAATAAAAACACTTCCCAGAAGCATTTCAAAGGGAATTAACTGGAGATGTAGGTCAGTGTGCTATTTTGCAGGGAGCAGCAGTGGCAGTGCCAGCTCCTCCAGCACCGAGCACCCCCCTCACCTATTGCACAGCTTCTGATAAAGCTCCCCTGGAACAGGATTAAAGCAGTCTGAAAATACCAGTGCTAATTTAGGGCTGACCAAGACGTCCTCAGGGAAACGGCATAGAAAGGAGAGACTAAGCATAATTATACAAGAGTAATATTAGCAGGCAAGCAGGTCTTCAGCAACCAGAAGCAAACCAACTCTGCCTCAATACATCCTACAATGTATTTTCTTCAGATTCAGTGAATAAAGAGGCATAAGAAGACAATGCCACACTTCCTCAAAAAGTACAGCAGGAGAGGAGAGCCTCGCATGGGAAAAGCACCAGAGGAAAGTTATGTCAGTGCTGCCTGCACAATCAGGTCAAGCCTCTTCTGTTAAAAAAGGAAAAAAAAAAAGATAGTCATAGAGGAATTAGCAGTCAGAATTCATTTCCTAAAGAAAATCCTAGCTCCTATCCATATTTCTGCTGCTCATCGCCTGTACGTTGCAGAGGAACACAGCAAGTCTTACAAATTGTATTACCAAACAGAATTAAGGTCAATGTTGTCACAGGGATTAGGACACCAATTCCTTATGACCATGTCAACCGCCCAGCAGCTTTGAAAAGCTCTGCCCAGGATTCCTTAGTGAAGCATGCCAACCCCAGCCCTATGCATGAATGCATAGGATTTCTGTCTAGGGCCAAACAGCTTCAATAAGCCGGGAGCCCCTGGGTTATGTGAACTCACTGCTTCAACTTCACATTAAGAAAATGAAGAGAAAGCACAAGGGAAATCCACTAAATCACCTGTGAAGTAGCACTTAGCCTCCCACCACAATGCTTTGAAAACTAATTAGTAGGGGAGGCAGAGGGGAAATCCAGCATGTAAAGCAGAATTGCAGGTTATTACCTTCTGAGGTCAGGACAGCAGGTAATGAGTGCTTCCGGAACAGAGACCTGGGCTGCGGCAGTCGGAGCGCGCCGCGTCCCGCCTGGCACTCACAGGCTGCCTGCGCTCAATCTTTACTGCAAGGCTTGCAGAAAGTCAATGCTTATGAGATCAAGCAATCACTGAGATCTGCTTTTCCTTGCAAAGCTCGCCTCAAATCCTCAGCACATCACAGCTGCACCAGCACTGAACTGGCCAGCTGCAACACAGCCCTAAAAATGATTTTTCCACTTCCTTCTTTCTTGTGTGGAATTAGTGTAAGCTGTCACATCTCTCTGCAGATTATTATTTGCTCTCAGAAACGAGAAACCGGGCTTTCTGAGCATATTCTGCTTCCCCTGCTCTTTCCCCTCCTTCCCCCTTTGTCCTCCTCGACTAACAAATTCCAAACCGAATTCCAGCCCATTCTGCTTCCCACTGGAGGGCAAGATGAGAGCTGACCTGCGATGACAGCTCTCCCAAACAGGAAATTCTTCACGGGGATGAGCGCAGCAGCAGCTTTATGCTGGCAGTTTGCAGCACTCCCCACACACAGCCTTGCTGTAAGAGTGCTGAAGTGCAACACGCAGTGCACATCACCAGCTTAACAAAATGGAGCACTTCAGCAGTGCCTAAGATGACGAGCACCTATTCAGACGCACACGCATCAGTTCTGTTTCTGCTGATCAAAAAAACCCTCTGCTTTCACAACCTATTTTTTTTTCTTTTTGCTTAATATTAAGGCTCACACAACACACGAACCCTCAGCTCAGCAGAAGAGTGAAGTCGATCTCTCATCATCATGAGCTCTGAATGAATGGCATAAAAGGGCTGAACTACCGAGTAGCAGTTTACTTGTTGCCCTTTACTACCAGCACACAGGAATTGTGTTGTAAGAAATCTGGTTGTTTGGACACAGCTCAGGTCCAAGTATCCTGGTGATCAGCATAAACACATTTCACCAACACCTGGAAAATTAGTAGCTATGATTACGAGAAAAGTAAACATGATTACACTGCACAAAATACCACTGAGCGGGCCAGGAAAACACAGCCAACCCGCTTTCATTGGCCTAAATTAATGGTTAAGGTATTCTCTGAGGTTATGGTCATATTACCCAACGAAACAGCATTCCTATGGCTTCAATCTCAGTTTTGAATCCTAATAATTAAATTCCAGAAGCCAAATTCTGGACACGGTAGTCATCTATATCAAAAGAAACTACAGTAGCACAACAATTATTTGCAGTAGTACTGGAATAACAACTCTCTACCCCCAGTTCACTCTCCCTTTGCCATCCTATCTACACCTCCCAAAGCAACTGCATGCACAAACCAGGATGGGAGCTACAGAAACAGTTTTACAGCCACATTAGCAACTGCTGAGAAAAAGCACCGTTGTCAGACTATGCTTAAATAAGGCTGTGTTAGTGGAGACCACTCATGACTTCACCTGAAGTGCTGCAATGAAGACAGCTAGCTCTTGGTTAGACCTAATCCTACTAGCCAAAAGCTTCCAGTACAAGTTTCCTGTTCCATTAGTTTATGAAAAAGTCTAGAGCAAAATGTAAGGAATAATTAGATTAAGGAAACTGAACTGTATCAACTCCTCAGCTATGAAGAAAAACCTAACTGTCCCTACCAAGTGACAGGCACATCCCACACTTGGTTTTGTACTGCAAACTGGCAACCAAAAAATAAGTTGAATACTGTTACTGACTCCTACTATTAAGGTAAGTACTAGTTGATACTGAAAGATTAGATAAACTGCAATTGTAACAGCTGAAGGTATTTGTAGGCTCAAACTGAGCTCCCTCGAGCACTGCTTTGCTCAGCAGGTCCCATCTAGAGGCCCTGCAACCAAAGCCCAGCACTGAGCAGCAGCAGAGCAGCCCCTCCCTTCCACTTCTCCCACTTCACACAAATGCTCACCAGCCATTCTCATCACAGCCCATCGCTGCTTCACAAGAATATGAGAAGCCAGGCAAATCACCAATACAAACAGCCATGCCTCATAGTTCAGGCAAATATCTCCAGAGCTCTGTACTCCACCTTTCTCCTACAGCACAGCAATGTCTGTGAACAATTCACTGAGGGCACTACAAAAATCAGAAGCTGTGCTGCTTTTTCCCTTCCTCTGGAGGTCTCTTCTGATCTAACCCGATTAGGCAAGAACAATTTGCTAAAGTAAAATATTTGCCTGCTGTATAACTGCCAATACCTATTCCTGAGCTCTTACTTATCCTTAGCAAAGGAATTGTGAAGGCAAACCACCAACAGAAAGTTCACTGCCTGATTGCAATCGCTTGCAAAAATAACCAGGGAACAATTCCATACAGGTGAAGGATACCAGAAACACGTTGTTAACCTTGAAGAAATCATTCTGTAACACGTTGGTCCTGCTGCACAGCCCCCAGCTATTTTAATTCCAATCCACACCCTCATTCTTTTAAGAGAGGAAAATTCACACTATCAAAATCACAAAGCAAGTAAGCACTGAAAAACACAGAAATATATCAGTATGAAAAGAAAACAACTGTAACTAAACACAGACTGTCATATGAAAGCTTTTTTTTTTTTTAAACCTAGTTTCCTAAATTCAGGACAAAATTTGTACATCCAGCAAGAAGTCCAGAGACACAAATTGGTACTGGGGAACAGATACACAGAGAGCATCTGAGCCTTGAGAACTACTGATGTGGACTTACACTGTGTGTATGCATACAACCCCAAAGTCTGCACTTGTCTTCCAAGTTAGGAAGACTCTGATCTGAGTTGTGAGAGGTTCATGTTGTGCTGACAGGCTGTAGCTTCTCTTCCAGCCACACGTGCAGCAGAACACAGCACGTTTTTCAGGCCTCTCTCTGTCCTACATGCACTTCTCTAGATAGAGCAAGCTGGTGTTTCTGGATCAGTAAGGTATCCCCAGCATAAGCCATGAACCAGTGCAGACAGCACCATCCAACACTGTGTCAGTGCAGTTGTACAAGTTTGATGCTGTTCTTTCAACATACTTACCACACAGTGGTGTTTATTTCAATGCATTTATCTGCCAGATGCTCATTTTCCAAAATTCCAAGTGCCCACCATGAAGTTGCTCACTTTGCTACAGATGCACCTCACGTGAGTTTGGTGGTAAAAAACAAACCTGGATCTTCAAGGTGAAGCACCTGGCTGCGTCTCACTGTCATTTCAGACCATTACCTCCAGTGGCCAAGATGTCACCATTTTTAAAGGAGCACAGAAACAAGCCATTACACCTCAGCTTCCCCCTTTCATCGCACTGTCTCATTCTCACTTCACTCAATGCCAGGGCACTTACAACTTTTGACATCAATCTTATCTCTTTTTCTTTTAGAAGGGAGTGTTTCCATTACAACTTCCAGTGCCCCCAGCTGGCACAGCACACCTCCTACTGGCATCCATTTGCTTCTGAGCCGTAAGGCAGACAAACACACCGATGAGGGGTCAAGCTCCAAGTTACTTCTGGTCTAAAAGCTGAAGTCTCTAGGTAAGAGAGCATTCTTTTTTTTCTTTTTTTTTTTTCTTTTTTTTTTTCTTTTTTTTTTTTTTTTTGAGTACAAGAGGAAATAGAGATTGCGTTAAGAACTACAACACAGCAGGAAAACACATTGCTAAACTTCCAAAGCTCGGGAGCTTTAAGTGCATGGAAGAGTTGAGACTCACGGAATGACTGTAAGAAATGCTGACGCCCTTACCTTGCAGCATGCATCTGTAGGCAGACTCGGATATGGCATAAATGTGTGGTGGCATTTCGTGGCGCTTCTTCCCTCTGTACATCTCTATGATGTTCTCTGAGTAAATCGGGAGGTTCTTGTACGGGTTTATAACTACGCAGAACAGCCCTGAATAGGTCTTAAAAAAGAAAAAGAGGTTTCATTAATCAACAAAGAATTGAATTAGAAACACGAGGAGCAAGACGTTTTTCACAGGCTATTTCGGATTTCTCTTAGAGCAAAATTAAGGTCCTTTCTGTTGGAGAACTTTAAGTACATGCTATCCTCAGACCGCTGGTTTATAGTTCTGTTACAAAGCTCTTTAATTACCTGCATTAAAAGTCATTTAAAGATAATCAACGTAAATAAACATTGAAGTGGAACATCTGATCTCCTTCCCACAGATATTTAAGTCTCTTTTCTACTTATAAAGTTAAAGAATTAAGGGCACCTTTTGATGTTCTACTCCTTCAGTAACACGCCTGCTAAAGTATTTTCATTTTTATACTTGGAAGAACTGCAATATTGATTTACCCTATAATCATCCTCTAAAAACTGTTAAATTAAAGGAAAAAAAAATCAAGAGCTTACAATAGAGAACAGTGATTTTACCTATCACACAACACAGAGGAGAAAAATAACTACTAAATATCTCCAGAGTTATTGCACTGACACAGAAATGTACACTGCACTGAGACACCACTTGTGCAAGGCCAGAGTTTAAAGAAGCAAAGAGAGGACATCACATTCTTCACACATTCTTTAGCTGGGACTGGCAGCGGTTGATAAGGACAGAGAGCAGAGACTTTGTGCAAGAGCAAACCCTATTATTTAGGCTAATGTATCATTATTCTATTATGTAACTTGAATAAGGAAAAAGCCTATTATTCCCAACCACTATTCTTGCTATCCTGCTGTTTTCCTACGATGCCATGTCTTCCTTCTGCAGAGGCCCAAAGCAATCTCCTCCTGGAGATGCTGCTCCTTCCATTCCCCCATCCTGGGCACAGGGCAGCAGGCACTGCAGACAGCGTTCTGTCACCTGCTTTTAGAGCTGATACTGAACAGAAATCATCAGAGCTGCCATCATATCAAAACATTCAAGTACAATTTTTACACTGCTCTTTGAAGTCACTCGTATTGAGGCGTTTCTTTTTTACTGCTACTGAAATTGAGTGTACACTGCAAGCGATACATAGGCCCACATTTGCACATGAATTAAGTATCAAGATGACTTTGGAACAGTTCAACCTCTGCTCTACAGAAGTTATCACACGTAAGTGATCTACATAAACATCAGCAGTTGCACATATCAATATACAGAGATGGAAAATAATCAGTCCTCCCTTTGCCAGTAGGAGGATATGCAAACATGGACTGGCTGCAAGGGCCTGAGTAACAAAGGCAAGGTAACAAAAAGACAACTTCGTGCACTGCCAGAAGAAAGCTCGTGTCATCTCCCTCAACTGAGGCATCCGAGGCATGAGAATGGCTCCTCCCCTTCCTAAACCCACACCTGGTGTTGTTTCCTTATGAAATTAAGATTACTGGAAAGATTTTCTTTTATACCAAGTTCTGAAAGCACATTTTAACACCATTAGCATCTTTAGTACCATGGGAACGTTAGCAAGAGAGAGCAACTGTCTTCTGCCAGAGGCAACAAGCATCTCTGTGGGTCAGGAAGACTGCCTTGTCTTCACAGACTGTTAGAAGAGGGGTAGCTATTGCTAGCCAGACTTCACTGACAGCCACTGGGGGCCTACGTAGTATTAAGCAGACAACACAAGAATCTTACAGCATTTTTTACTTCAAAAACAATTTTTATTTGGAAGAGGAGGAACTTTATTCCTTCTGCACAAAGGATCCTGGAAGTACAGGCAGAAGGCCATCTCTGAGCCAGGAGCTATCAGTAAAGGAAAAGAACTTGGTGTTACATCAGATGTCCTGACTGGAAAGGAATCTCTGCTTTGTTCTGATATGCTGGATGATAAGAAGTGCAGTGCCTTACCTAGCCAAATATCTTTGGGAATAACGTATGTATTTCTCAAGAAAGGAAACAGATGTTATCAGGTCAGTTGACCCAAGCACAAAGAACAACTTATTATTAACTCAACATAAGCAAAGGGCCTTTGGTGAGAGTGCAGTCCCTCTCCGGCCTCCCTTCCAGCCCTACCACCACCCTCCCACCAGCACTGCTGCCCTGGCAGTGACTTACGAGCGGGCACTGCCTCTTGGAGGACAAATTCCTAAAAGAATTGGTTAGTAATAGAATGAGCTGCCTGACCAAATGCATCATGGCCACTAGTGAGATCATAATGGAGAGGGAAGGCAGGACGGTTATTTTAATAGCACGGTTCAGCTGACCAAGGAGCCAAATGAGGTCACCCGCACTCATCTACAAGCAGTACCAATAGCATGAAGACATCAAAAGATCACCATAAATCTCTTTATCATTCCAGCATTCAAGCAGCGATAGCAAGAAGTAAGGCACGTATTTATCCACCCATCCTGCAACCACCAGCTTCAAGTCAGCAAGGAAATGCAGCACAGCTGCTGCTTGCTATGGTCACTTTGGACGACGAAGACCAGCTCACTGCTGACTGCAGATGAGATCTGGTCATGAGAAAAGAATTCCTACAGCCAGGTCAGCTCCCAGTTCTGCCCCAGCACATCCTCCCATCACTGCAGCCACACGGAGTTATTAGGCATCATCCAGTGCAGCTCATTCATACAGGGTGGTTCTGGAACCCTTCACCCAGCTCCACCTGGGCCCTGCTCTGCTATCCAGCTCCACAGACCTGGGTTCACCTCTCTGTGATACACCTTACCCAGGATGCAGCTGTCTAACTAACGCCCTATAAACACAAACTTAGCAAGTTTCTGAGCTCTACTGATGACACCTAACCTGGAAGCCTTTCCAGACCACCTCCCAGTGCAGTAATTGCTAGGATCAGAGAATCTGGAACGACCCCAATAAGCAAATGAACTATTCACCACTTTCACCAATGCTGAGGTTCATTCATTTGGAGGATAAATTTGTATCACTGACCACTAAATCTCCACCATAAGAGAGCTCTTCCACACGCAGTACCACAAACCCAGCCGTCCTGCTGCCCTGCATACCTGTCACTCAGTTCACTCTCCTGCCCTTTCCCTGCAGAATTTGAAGTCACACTTCTTTCAAAAC